CTGGTTTAGTCCTTGTTTTAGTCCTGGTTTAGTCCTGGTTTAGTCCTGTTTTAGTCCTGGTTTAGACCTGGTTTAGTCCTGGTTTAGTCTGTTTTAGTCCTGGTTTAGTCCTGTTTAGTCCTGTTTAGTCCTTGTTTAGTCCTGGTTTAGTCCTGGTTTAGTCCTGTTTTAGTCCTGGTTTAGACCTGGTTTAGTCCTGGTTTAGTCCTGTTTTAGTCCTGTTTTAGTCCTGGTTTAGTCCTGTTTAGTCCTTGTTTAGTCCTGGTTTAGTCCTGGTTTAGTTGTTTTAGTCCTGGTTTAGACCTGGTTTAGTCCTGGTTTAGTCCTGTTTTAGTCCTGGTTTAGTCCTGGTTTAGTCCTTGTTAGTCCTTGTTTAGTCCTGGTTTAGTCCTGGTTTAGTCCTGTTTTAGTCCTGGTTTAGTCCTTGTTTAGTCCTGGTTTTAGTCCTGTTTTAGTCCTGGTTTAGACCTGGTTTAGTCCTTGTTCAGTCCTGGTTTAGTCCTGTTTAGTCCTGGTTTAGTCCTGTTTTAGTCCTGTTTTAGTCCTGTTTAGTCCTGGTCCTTAGTCCTGGTTTAGTCCTGGTTTAGTCCTGGTTTAGTCCTGGTTTAGTCCTGTTTTAGTCCTGGTTTAGTCCTTGTTTAGTCCTGTTTTAGTCCTGTTTTAGTCCTGTTTTAGTCCTGGTTTAGTCTTGGATTAGTCCTCGTTTCTTTATGTCGTCGTTTTAGGTGAATATTATGATTCAAATGTTCCAGATTAGAACTTTAAACACACAGAGACACGTCATCGTTCTGATTTCAAAGCCGTTTTCAGTTTCTCGACACAAAGACGCTCGTTAAATAAAAACCTGTTCTGTGTTTTTGAGGCTTTCAGGTTTTTCAGGTGCAGACAAAGCGACCGTGTGTGAGCGGGTTTGTGTGAGTGTGTGTGTGTGTGTGAGTGTGTGTGTGTGTTTGTGTGATCGTGTGTGTGTGGAGGAGCCCACGCGTCGCCTAAGTGCTTCAAACTATTGTGTGTTTTTATTCTGTGTGACGGAGCCGGACCAGAACTCGACCCAAAACCACAAAAGCACAAAAGCACAAAACGCCGCGATCTGAAACACGACGAGTTTTTATTTTTTATTTTTTTTCTTTATGTGACGAGTGTGAACACGACGAGTGAATAAAACGACTCACTGGACGAGTTTTGTAACGAGTCCCGAGGTTCAGGGGTCAGACGGACGGAACACTCCGGAACACGACCAGAGACGGAAAACTCAACCACAGGGACACGGATCTAGAATTCAACTGGAATATAATAATCAATAAATGTATAAACAATAATAATAATAATATAATAATAATAATAATAATAATAATAATAAAAATCATGAATAAATAAATGACTAAATAAATAAATAATAAAATAATATGATATAATAATAATAATAATAATAATAATAATAATAATAATAATAATAATGAATACATAAAATAAAATAATAATAAAACATTAATAATAAATAATACAGTTGTTTAGAACGACTGTTAAAAATCTTTCTGTTAAAAAATAAATAATAAAATAATAATAAAATAGTAAAAATAAAGAAATAAATTAATACATAAATAAATATTTAAAATATAATAATAATAATAATAATAATAATAATAATCATGATAAATAAATGACTAAATAATAAATAATAAAAATAAATAATAATAATAATAATAATAATTAAAATCATGAATAATAAATGACTAAATAATAAAATAATAATAATAATAATAATAATTCAAATCATGAATAAATAAATGACTAAATAAATAAAATAATAATAATAATAATAATAATAATAATAATAATAATAAATGAATACATAAATAAAATAATAATAAAACATTAATAATAATAATACAGTTGTTTAGAATGACTGTTAAAAATCTTTCTGTTAAAAAATAAAAATAAATAAATAATAATAAAATAGTAAAAATTAAGAAATAAATTAATACATAAATAAATATAAAAATATAATAATAATAATATAATAATAATAATAATAATAATAATAATAATAATAATAATAAAAAATACAAATCATATTACAGTTGTTTAGAATGACTGAAACAAAAAATTCCTTTCTCTCTTTCTCTTTTTCTGTTTCTTTCTCTCAATCCACCTCCCTCCCACTCTCCTGTCTCTCTCCTTCTTTTTTTGTCTTCCTCTCTCCCTCTTTTTCTCCCTTCCTCTTTCTTCTCTTTCCCTCTCTCTCCTCCCTCTCCCTCCCTGCCTCCCTCTTCTCCATCCCTCCTTCACTCTCTCTCTTTTCCCTCTCTCCTTTCCCTCCCTTTCTCTCTGTCTTCACTCTCTCTCCCTCCTTCTCATCTCTCTCTCTCTCCCTGTCCTCCCCTCTAGTCTTTCTTTCTTCCTCTTCTTCTCTCTCTCTCTCCTACCCTCTCTCACTTCTTTTTCTCTCTCTCCCTCCCTCCTTCTCCCTGTGTTCTCTCTCTCTTCCCCTCTTCTTCCGCCCGTAAACGAAACGAACCTGTGACTGAAAGATGATTTGTGAGGACGCGGCGCCCTCTGCTGGACACGACGAAACATCACATCTGAAAAAGTGAAAAAGTGAAAAAATGAAAATGTGCAGTGTCCAGTTTTTCTCCAAACTCTCTCTCTCTCTCTCTTATATATAATGTTTAATATATTTATTCTTTTCAGTTTTTTGTTTAAATGTATTATTATTATTGTTGTTGTTATTATATTTTATTTTATTTTTTTGCTTATATAATCTAATAAACTAAATTTCACGTAAACTCGTTCCTTTTGGTTCTTTTTGCGCAATGAGGAAAAGATGAGGAAGCGGCCCCGCCCACCTCCCCCCCTCTTTGTCCCCGATTGGTCCAGCGCAGCCACATCTCCGTCTCCGATTGGCCGCCACTCCCCGGCGCGACTGCCCGGATGCGGAAGTTGCAGCCGATACGGATCGTGCAGCGAACCCGCTCACAGGAGGATGTGAAACCGACTCCGGACCGCGCCGCGCCGCCTCCAAACGCCATGAAATCTACATAACTCAACGTTTTTCTGCCGCGGTAGACTCAGATCGAGGTGTAAATATGATTTTAGCGGAGTATTTTCTTGTTTTGGGGCTGTTTTTGGCGCCGGGAGCTGCGAAGAAGGACGGAGGGGACGACGAGTGGGTGCATCTGCCGAACAAGTGCGAAGGTAACGGGGGTTTGAGCCGCTAATCCCGCCCTAAAATATAAAATAAAATAAAATAAAACTCTGTATTTACCATTCAAACTACCGACTTCACGCTAAGACTTGTATTTACTGAATTAAACGTCAAAAAAGTCCAGAACATTCTTTGTTTACACTGTGCGAAGCTGCAGCAGAGTCACGTTTCACACGACCGCATCACGCCGCAGCATTTTACTATAAAAAGTCATAATAATTCTAAAATAATCATGTTTTTGTAAGGAAACTGGCAATACTTTCTCCATTTAAGACATCAGCGTTAAACTGTGTGTTACTGCACCTGTCACTACCTTTAAAAATGTTCTCTTTATCAAAAATACTCTTAAAATATTGGGATTTTCTTTAAATAATGAATAAATACAGAGAAAATGGTGAATAATATGAGTTAGAATGAGTATAGTATAGTATTAGTGTTACGATACTAGTAGAGAATAGACTCGATACTCAAAATGATTCTGATATCACGACGGAAATAAAAAATAATAAAAAAGTCTTTCTTTAGACAATAAAATTTTATTTTTCAACATTAAATCTAAACAATACAGATTATACAGACTTAAACACACACACCAGAATATCTTTCCTTTTTATTTATTTATCTTTCAATTTACACCAAACACGACCAAACTGTCCTGGTTACAGACGTCACAGCCAATGAAATGTTCCACATTACAGTTTAATGCAGCTTCAGCATCAATGAATGTTCGTGTTAAGAGGCAACACCTTCTGTGTCTACAGTATTTACCGGTGAGTTTAACGTCACCGTGTCCAGGATGGATTTGCTGGTTCATTATAACTCAGGTATAACCACTGTCTGTAACCAGGACAGTTTGGTCGAGTTTGGTGTAAACTGGAACATTTCAATGTCCCGAGGAACTTTTGGTCACATTTCAAGTGAGAAATGCAGCTGAGATGAAGGTTCAGACTGACTGATGCTCGCTGTGGCTGTAGCCGTGAAAGTTTTAATCTAAACATGAAGAGAACCTGATATTTGTTAATTATCCCTGGGATAATGTTACATCTGATGTTCACCAACTGGCTCCACTCTGTTTCTACTAAAATATTGGTGCAGTTTCCCGTTCAGAGGAGGTGTTTCTACACAATATCACACAGCAGCGTTTGGTTCCTGAATTCAATGTGACAAGACAAGACATTTTTACACTAAATTTGACTGAATCCACTTGTTGTTCTGTTGAAGCTCCTTGTTGTGTCATTACTCTGTTTTTACTCTGCCACAAACTTAAACATGCACAGTCTTGATCTTGATCAATGTTTCTTCTGCTCGATAAATAATGTCCGTGAAGTGATGACGTATTTTTGACAGTAAAGTCTCGTCTGTGAATTCGTATTCGTCCTGATGAAAGTTTAATCATAAATTTTAATTTCGTAATTGTAATTCTTGACGTCGTAACTTTTCAATTCGTGTTCTGATGGATAAAAAACACACAATATATTTTATGTACGACTGGACTCATGTGAGAGTTTACAAATATTTATTTTATGCACAAGTACAGACAAATATGCACCGATTTCTATTCTATGCAAATGAATATTTTTGAAAGCTTCTTACTCCACACTGAACTCCCCGTGAGTGAAAACAAGTGAAGAAGAGTGAAGAGAGGAGGGAGGAATGTGGAGGACACTTCAGCTCAAGGACAGAAACGGAATGAACCACGAGAAGAGAGGAGAGACTTTTTTCGTTGTTCATTTTTTCGGTTGGGCGTCCGTGACCTGCTCGTTTCTACGGAGACGTCACTGCTCTGTCCGGAACTTTTACACGAGAGATTTAATTCTGAATAAAAATAAATTCTGCTTTTCAAAAAGACCAGGTAAACACTTAATTCCTATTGGAAAATTAGTATTCGGAATTAAACTCAATTTAAGTGGCGCATTGAAGCTCCTCCGCACCAACACCGACGCCTCCGAAATGTTGTAAATACACGAAATAAGAGCTGTGATTGGTCGTCTCTACACACGTTTCCTGTTCTTCCCTTTCCCGCTTCATTTTGTAAACACGAACACCAGTTTTAAATATTACAGAGACCTGGTTTAGTCCTGGTTTAGTCTCGATTTAGACCTGGTTTAGTCCTGGTTTAGACCTTTATTTAGTCCTGGTTTAGACCTGGTTTAGTCCTGGTTTAGTCCTGGTTTAGTCCTGGTTTAGTCCTGGTTTTAGATCCTTTTAGAGTATAGTCCTGGTTTAGTCCTGGTTTTAGACCTGGTTTAGTATAGTCCTGGTTTAGTCCTGGTTTTAGTCCTGGTTTAGTCCTTTTTAGATCCTTTATATAGTCCTGGTTTAGTCCTGTTTTAGACCTGGTTTAGTCCTGTTTTAGAGTCCTGGTTTAGTCCTTGGTTTAGACCTGGTTTAGACCTGGTTTAGTCCTGTTTAGATCTTTATATAGTCCTGGTTTAGACCTGTTTAGTTTTAGACCTTATATAGTCCTGGTTTAGACCTGTTTTTAGACCTTATATAGTCCTGGTTTAGACCTGTTTAGACTTATTAGTCCTGGTTTAGACCTGTTTTAGACCTTATATAGTCTGGTTTAGACCTGTTTTTTAGACCTTATATTAGTCCTGGTTTAGTCCTGTTTTAGACCTTTATTTAGTCCTGTTTTAGACCTGTTTTTAGACCTATATAGTCCTGGTTTAGACCTGTTTTAGACCTTTATATAGTCCTAGTTTAGACCTGTTTTTAGACCTTATATAGTCCTAGTTTAGACCTGTTTTTAGACCTTATATAGTCCTAGTTTAGACCTGTTTTTAGACCTTATATAGTCCTAGTTTAGACCTGTTTTTAGACCTATATAGTCCTGTTTAGACCTTTAGACCTTTATAGTCCTAGTTTAGACCTGTTTTAGACCTTATATAGTCCTAGTTTAGACCTTTTTTTAGACCTTAATTCAGAATTTAAAAAACATCAGCTCGATTTTACGTTATTCAGTTAGAGGTGTAGGTTTCTTAGCTAAAAAAATCCCTCGAAAAAACAAACATTCTGACTGTGAGCGGGGTCGCCTCTCCACAGATCTGACCTGGAACTTCGGCTCGTTTTTGTTTTTTTGTTTGTTGAAGATAGAAAGGTTTAATGCCGGACTGCGGAACATTCCATACAAAGCATCCGACGGAGCCTCCGCCAGAAGTCGACCAAGTCCTGAACGATTTGTGAAGAAAAGTAGAAAAACACATTGAAAGTTACAGGAAGTACAGAGTTCTAAAACACACTGATGACATCACATGTGTAGGGAGTATTATACCCAAACATTCTGCCCAATTTACACACAAGAAACGCAACTTCTTTAACATTATTTCAACAAAATAAAGGTGTGTTTTTCTTTTAATCTGTATTTGTCAGATTATAATTCTTGGTTGTGGGTCTGTCACCTGCTTGTTTCTATGGATACGTCGTTGCTCTGCCTGGAATGTTCCACAGTGTGACTTTAAGCAGCTCGACTTTACATTTATTTCAGTCACAGGTGCAGGTTTTTACAGCTCGAAAAAATTCCTAGAAAAAAGACATTGTGACTTTCTCCACAGATCTGACCTGGAACTTAGTCTAGTTTGGTTTCCGTGAAGATAAAAAGGTTTAAAGTCATACTGCGGAACATTCCACACAAAGCAGAAACATCTTCATGGAGAAAAAAAGCGTTTGTCAGACCCTCCAGCAGAAAAGTTGGTGACCCACATTACACCAGTGCAGTTTTTATTCTCTTTTAAACGTTTGTGATTCTGATTTTGTCCACACTTGAGCAGCTCTTTGTTAAAACCCTCACCGCGTCTTTTTCTTGTTCTCTCTGTGTGTTTGTTCTTTCTGCAGTGTGCAAGTTCGTGAGCATCGAGATGAAGTCGGCGTTCGAGGAAACGGGAAAGACAAAAGAAGTGATTGACAGGAACTACCGCTTCATCGACGGAAAAGGCGCCGCGCCGATCAAATATGTCAAATCGTGAGTCACTGTCAGAGTTTTTTTTTTTAATGGAAATATAAACGGTATAAAACATAAAACACGAGGCGCAGATGTTTAGAGAAGAGCACAAAACCATCATCTAGTGTTTTAGCGTCGGTGTTTCATGATTAAAATGTGAAGCAGTGATGTTTAAAGCTGCACCGTGTGACTTTTCTCACTTCTCACCTGCTTTTTCCATGCATCAGATGTGTTTGCTTTGCCTGGAAAGTTCCACAATATGGCATTAAACTTGTCTGTCTCCATGGTGACGCCTGAAGGACACACAGAGAGGCCCAGCGTGTGGTTAGATCTTTAAGACTTTTGTTTTTGTTACAGAATTCTAATGTGCAAATATAGAGTTTTTTCACACCGACAGCAGTTTTATTAGTTCGTTGCGGGAGATTATAGCGTTTACAAAACAAGAAAAAGAGCTAAAAATGTGAGGAACGGAACGGAGGAACGAACCGAAAAAGCCACGAGCGCGACGAGCCGCTTCTAGACACGACTGAACAACTGAGTCACTGAACACGTCCACAATCCAGCGACAGACACTACTCCCTACACGCCACAACTGAACAAAGCCCAGAGTCACCGTGAACGAACAAACAAACAAAACCACTCACACATCACACTGTTGGGTTTCCTTTAAAGTCCCACGAGGTTTATTTGTGAAAAAAGTTAGAAAATAGACCATTTAACGACAGTGCGTCTTATAATCCAGAGCGACTAATGGCCCGGAAAATACGATACTTAGGACTGTTAAAAAAAACATCACCAAATGTTGAAAATTTTAAATGTGTTATGTGTGAGGCTCCTGTTAAAAACAAGAAAACGTAACATGGTCCGGTTTTCACATGTAATTTTTAGCATGTGGGTAGTGATGAAAAAAAAAAAGGAAAGCCCAGAAAATACGGCAAATTAATCAGTCATGCTTGGCTAAGATCACAATAAATATTAAATATATGAAAAACACACCATTTTTCCAAGACAAACACACTAAAATCGATAGATAAATAGATTTCAGTTTATTCATAAGTACGACAGCAGCTGGAACGAAGCTCCTTTTAAAACGATTCGTTCTAGATCTTGGGTCTAAAAGCCTCAGGCCAGAGGAGAAGCAGCTGAAACTCTTGAGTTCAGCGGACGCCGCACGTCTTCTAGAACATTCTAGGACACAGGTGTCAAACATAAGGCCCGGGGGCCAGATCCGGCCCTCCAAGACTTTTAGTCTGGCCCTCGGCTGATTTTCTACAAAAATATTTTAATTATATTTTCTATTAAAATCTTGTTAATTTACTGTGGTGTTTATCACAGCAGCGTCTCCACTGTCTCTGTACGTGGCCCCTCCCACCAGAGCAGCACAAATGAAGACTTGTCTCTTTCCAAACGCTCTTAAAGGACGATCGTTTTGACTGTTGACCGTGACACCCTCATCAGAAAAATGTCCAACATGAGAAAAGTGGAGCCGAGTGCAGGATTTTACAAGAAAAATTGACTTATTCCCAATTTACATACAAGTTATTTTTAAAATGTTGTGTTGAAATTGTATTTTTCTTAAAGTTTCAGGTTGTTCATAATATTATAATATTTTGTAAAAGTAAGAGTTCATCAATTAAAAAAGATTTCTGTAATAGATTTGTGTTTCTCTGCACAAAATATTTGAACTTATTGTTATTTTTGGGGTTTATATGACATGAGTTTTCTGATTCGGCCCCTTTGAGATCAAAGTAAGTTGGATACGGCCCCCGGACCAAAATGAGTTTGACACCCCTGTTCTAGGACGTCTGCTGTAACTGTAACTGAGCGCAGGGAGTCCAGGCAGCTCTGAGGATGGACAATCACCTCGCCTCCATTTAACCAACGTCAAAACTACCGCTTCATGACATCACAAGGTGGAGCAGAGCGTTTGGAGCTTTGCAGATGTAGACAGACTTATAATAAAGAGTCACTCAAACATGTGAATGAAACAAAACACAACTCGAGCTCCGTTTGTGATGAGGGAACGACATTAGAACTCGACTCAAAGCTCACGTGAGTCAGTTTTGTGTCATGCAGGACTTTTATCCTGATCGTTCTCACTGTCGTCGTTGTTGTTCTCCTCGTGTTCAGGGACCTGCGTTTCATCGAGGTGGTGGAGAACGTTTGCCAAAGACTTCTGGAGTACAACCTGCACAAGGAGAGATCCGGCTCAAACCGCTTTGCCAAAGTAACGTAACTACTTTTTTCGGGTAAAAATAGTGTAACGTGTTTTTTTTTTTTTTGTTTTTTTTAAAGTAACTACCCCGACACAGAGAGCGCACACGAGCACTGCAGGTCTGATTTAACTCTGACGTGTGATGTTTCTGTGCAGGGCATGTCTGAAACCTTCTCCACGCTCCACGGTTTGGTGAACAAAGGCGTGAACGTGGTGATGGACATTCCCTATGAGCTGTGGAACGAGACGTCGGCTGAAGTGGCCGACCTCAAGAAACAGGTGAAAAAAAACCAAATGATGGGGCACAGATAAAATGAAGATTGTTAAAATGTAAAATTATGTTGAATTAAAGTGAGTTCTAGGGTTTAGTCATTTGTGAATTTATCTTTTGGATATTTTATGTATAACAACTATTAAAGGTTGTATGGAGGATTTTTTTTTTTGTTTCAAACTGTCAGTCAAAGATTAAAATACCATCACAGAGACGCAGCAGCTTTGTAATTATGATGACCAAAAAAAAAAAAAGAACGAAAATCTATCAACTGTGGACGTGTTGAGGCCAGATAAACATCAGCCAATAGAAAACGAGGCTCCCTCATTTTCTATTGGCTGTTGGGTTGTCAATCAAACTCCCTAGTGTAACTGACTCGTCGGAGCGCGGGGATTACGTGGTTTACGCAGCGGTTCTTAGAGGCTTTTTCGAACTGTCGCTTCCTCGCATTTTACACACTGTCCCTGATAAATAAACAAATAAAATAAACTAAATAATATTCAGCTTTATATAGAGCTTTGGAGACACAGACTGACAATAATAAATAATAAAGGACTTGGCTTAAAGCTGCACTGTGTAACTTTCTGGCTGGGGTCCGTCACCTGCTTATTTCTATGGATACGTCACTGCTCTGTCTGGAATGTTCCGCAGTGTGCAAAAATGATATGATGATTGACAAGACATAGGGTTATCTGTTACATAAGTGTGAGCTGTTCTACAGTTGTAGGGAGTATTATCTGTTAAAGAGGGTGATTTGTACAGCTGTTATACTTAAAGGTTGTATAGAGGATTTTTTTAAGGGAAGAGAAATACAGCGACAGTCCTTGTGCGCGTTCAGAATCACTGTTGAAGTTTCCTGTCTAGAAGTAATTCAGCGACCGACGCGTCAGTTTTTAGACCCTTCGTCTGCTTCGGTCGCGCCATCGCTGGACGAGATCTCCAAGAATCACCTCAGTTTGGCTTCGCTCCTTTTCCTCTTCTCTTCTTCTTTCAGCGACCTCAAAAACGGACTTTCTTTCGCGGTGAACCGGTCGTGGATTCTCGTCCGCCGTCGCGACAAACTTTGTGCGAAATGCGAGGAAGCGACAGTTCGAAAAAGCCTCTAAGAACCGCTGCGTAAACCACGTAATCCCCGCGCTCCGACGAGTCAGTTACACTAGGGAGTTTGATTGACAACCTAACAGCCAATAGAAAATGAGGGAGCCTCGTTTTCTATTGGCTGATGTTTATCTGGCCTCAACACGTCCACAGTTGATAGATTTTTGTTCTTTTTTTTTTGTCCTGGTTTAGTCCTGGTTTAGTCCTGTTTTAGACCTGGTTTAGCCCTGGTTTAGTCCTGGTTTAGTCCTGGTTTAAGTCCTGGTTTAGTCTGGTTAGTCCTGGTTCAGTTCTGGTTTAGTCCTGGTTTAGTTCTGGTTTAGTCCTGGTGTAGTCCTGGTGTAAGTCCTGGTTAGTTCTGGTTTAGTTCTGGTTTAGTCCTGGTTTAGTTCTGGTTTAGTTCTGGTTTAGTCCTGGTTTAGTCCTGGTTTTAGTCCTGGTTTAGACCTGGTGTAGACCTGGTGTAGTCCTGGTGTAGTCCTGGTGTGGTCCTGGTTTAGACCTGGTTTAGACCTGGTTTAGTCCTGGTTTAGTCCTGGTTAGTCCTGGCTTAGTCCTGGCTTAGTCCTGGTTTAGACCTGGCTTAGTCCTGGTTTTAGACCTGGTTTAGACCTGGTTTAGTCCTGGTTTAGTCCTGGTTTAGTCCTGGCTGGTAGTCCTGGTTTAGACCTGGTTTAGACCTGGTTTAGTCCTGGTTTAGTCCTGGTTTAGACCTGGTTTAGTCCTGGTTTTAGTCCTGGTTTAAGTCCTGGTTTAGTCCTGGTTTAGTCCTGGTTTAGACCTGGTTTAGTCCTGGTTTAGTCCTGGTTTAGACCTGGTTTAGACCTGGTGTAGTCCTGGTGTAGTCCTGGTTTAGCCTGTTTAGTCCTGGTTTAGACCTGGTTTAGTCCTGGTTTAGTCCTGGTTTAGTTCTTTTTTTTTGGTCATCATAATTACAAAGCTGCTGCGTCTCTGTGATGGTATTTTAATCTTTCACTGACAGTTTGAAACTAAAAAAAAATCCTCCATACAACCTTTAAGTCTATGACACGAGTGCTGCAGGTTTTCTTTAAATAAAAAGAGCAGAGAGTGACTGGTGTGTCTATATAAAGATTAAAGAGGAAGTGTGAAAACGGAAGCAGATTTGGAGGAACTCGAAAGCTCAATTTCAACTTCAAAATGTCACGAAGCGAACAGCTCCTTTTACCTTTAGTTCAGTCGAGATCGGTGAAGAAATCCCAGGTCTGAAATGATTGGAGTGAAGGTGTGAGGAGTTTAGTCGCAGCTGCGGTTTGTGAGAAGAGCTCGGTGTAAATCTTCAGGGTTTGTGCGTTAAACGTGAGTTGTGTCGACTTAAAGGTTGTATAGAGGATTTTCCAAGGAACGAGAAATCCAGCAACTGTTTGTCCTTTTTCAAATGTTGCGCATGCGTGAAACCACCTCCCCTCCCCTACAGCTCCTACGTAGAAACACCTCCTCCCTCCTCCTCCTTACGCCACAAACAGGTTTGTTTACAGCCGGTGCTGCACATGACTTGTAAACAACTAACTACAGTGTTGGTTAGACAAGACGGAGAAGTGAGGAGCAGGGGGAAGAGCGGAGCAGGGAGAGAGGAGAGGAGAGGAGAGAAGGTTGCGCGGAGATTCAGTGCGAATGAACTAGCAACAACACGCAGCAGCAAGCGGACTCTTTCTTTGCCTTGAAAATTACGTTTTCAGACATAGGATATCGCTTTCATGTCCTGAAAAACGTTTGTGTAGCTCTTGGAAATAAAGTACGTTTTCATAATAAGCAGAAGTTTCCTGTCCAGGAGTAATTTGTGGACCAGTGGTTCAGTCTTTAGACCCTGCGTCTGCTTCAGTCGCACCATCGCTGGAATGAATCTTCAAAAATCACCTTAGTTTGGCTTCGCTGCTTTTCCCCTTGTCTTCTTCTTTCAGCGACCTCAAAAACGGACTTTCTTTTGCGGCGAACTGCTCCTGGATTCTTGTCGCCATCGCAACAAACTTTGTGCGAACTGCGAGGAAGATATAGGTAAAAAAAAGCCGCTAAGAACTGTTGCGTTGGTGGAGTAAACAGCGTCTGTGCGTCTTGCGTCTGTGGACTGTGTGACAGTCGTACGTAAACCACGTACCGGCGGCGCAGGCAAGTCAGTTACACTAGAAACGTAGGGAGTTTGATTGACAGCCTGTCAGCTCACAGATAACGAGGCAGTGTCGTTATCTATTGGCAAATGTTTAGCCCCACCACGTCCAGAGTTGATGAATTTTTATTCTCTTTTTTTTGGTCATCATCATTACAAGGCGACTGCATCTATAATCTATCACTGACAATTTGAAACAAAAAAAATCCTCCATACAACCTTTAAACGGTTTGTGCGGTTTGTGTTTCAGTGCGACGTGCTGGTGGAGCAGTACGAGGAGGTGATCGAGGACTGGTACAAGGGCGACCAGAGCGAGGACCTGACCACGTACCTGTGCGCCAGACACGTCTTAAAGGGACAGGACGCCGGTAAAACACACAGAGAGACACATAAAAACACATGACTTTAGATCCAGAACACACACTTGAGTCCAGTCACCGTTTACCACGTTTACATGAGAGATTTAATTCTGAATAAAAATGAATTCCGCTTTAAAAACTCCGTGTAAACACTTAACTCCCGATGAAGATTCTGAGTTCAGTGTTTTTGGTTTATTCTGATTTTAAAGATGAATGAATTTCTTCCTGGATCATGTTTTATGTTCCTCGTTTCATGAGTTCGATCGAGCTTTAGGGACAAACTGCTCCACGGGCTCTGTGCTCTCGAATCCAAGAGTAAACCTGGTTTAGACCTGGTTTAGACCTGGTTTAGACCTGGTTTAGACCTGGTTTAGACCTGGTTTTAGACCTGGTTTAGTCCTGGTTTATACCTGGTTTAGTCCTGGTTTAGACCTGGTTTAGACCTGGTTTAGACCTGGTTTAGACCTGGTTTAGACCTGGTTTTAGACCTGGTTTAGACCTGGTTTAGTCCTGGTTTAGTCCTGGTTTAGTCCTGGTTTAGTCCTGGTTTAGTCCTGGTTTAGACCTGGTTTAGACCTGGTTTAGACCTGGTTTAGTCCTGGTTTAGTCCTGGTTTAGTCCTGGTTTAGACCTGGTTTAGATCCTGGTTTTAGTCCTGGTTTAGTCCTGGTTTAGTCCTGGTTTAGTCCTGGTTTAGACCTGGTTTTAGACCTGGTTTAGACCTGGTTCTAGACCTGGTTTAGTCCTGGTTTAGACCTGGTTTAGTCCTGGTTTTAGACCTGGTTTAGTCCTGGTTTAGTCCTGGTTTAGAGTCCTGGTTTTAGACCTGGTTTTAGACCTGGTTTGTTTTTAGTCCTGGTTTTAGTCCTGGTGTTTTTAGTCCTGGTTTTAGTCCTGGTTTAGTCCTGGTTTTAGTCCTGGTTTAGTCCTGGTGTAGTCCTGGTTTAGTCCTGGTTTAGAGTCCTGGTTTAGACCTGGTTTAGACCTGGTTTAGACCTGGTTTTAGTCCTGGTTTAGTCCTGGTGTAGTCCTGGTGTTAGTCCTGGTTTAGACCTGGTTTAGACCTGGTTTAGTCCTGGTTTAGTCCTGGTTTAGTCCTGGTTTAGTCCTGGTTTAGTCCTGGTTTAGACCTGGTTTAGACCTGGTTTAGTTAGTCCTGGTGTAGTTTTAGACCTGGTTTAGTCCTGGTTTAGACCTGGTTTAGTCCTGGTTTTAGTCCTGGTTTAGTAGTCCTGGTTTAGTCCTGGTTTAGTCCTGGTTTAGTCCTGGTTTAGTCCTGGTTTTAGTCCTGGTTTAGTAACCTGGTTTTTCTGGTTAAGTCTGTGATTTATGTTCTGTAGATGCAATTACCGAGACGACAGAAACGACCCTGAGCGGAATTAAAGACGATTTATCGAGTTTTCCACGTGAACCTCAATTCTGAATTATTATTTTCATGTAAACTAAAAGGAGAGTTTTTAAATTCTGAACTATTTAATTCAGAACATTTAATTCGGAATTAAAAAAAACAGTAGACACCGAAAGGACTGATCCCAAACTCCTGAAAATGTGCTTTTTACATCACTTTTGTTGTTGTATCTTAAAGGTCTTCATGGAAAGATTAAAACACGAGACGCAGCAGCTTTTAATTATGATGACCAAAAAAAAAAGGAACGAAAATCTATCAACTGTGGACGTGTTGTAAACATCAGCCAATAGAAAACGAGGCTCCCTCATTTTCTATTGGCTGTTGGTCGTGTAACTGACGTCGGAGCGGTTACGGACGCAGCGGTTCCTTTTTCGAACTGTCGCTTCCATTTCGCACAAAGTTTGTCGCGATCCACGACCGGTTCCCGCAAAGAAAGTCCGTTTTTGATAGATGAGGTGATTCCTCGTCCAGCGATGGCGCTGAGAATTACTTCTAGACCCCCCCGCAGCGTGACCTCTCCCCTTTAACCGTTTTTTCCGTGTTCGTGTGTGTTGTTGAACATCAGAGTGAACCCCCCAGCGTCTGAACGAGGAGTGGTCGAAGAGGAAAGGAGACCGCGCCGCCATCGCCGAGGACAAGAAAAACAAGAAGAGCAAAAACGACGACAAGAAGAAGAAGAAGAAGAAGAAGGGGAAGAAAGACGCCGACGCTCCGGACGCCGAGAACAAGAAGAAGAAGGACAAGAAGGTGAAGAAGAAGAAGAAGTCCAAAGCGCCGGTGGAGAGTCAGGATCCAGGGGCCACGACGGACGAGGAGATCCAGCCCCAGGTGCCTCTGAGCGGGGCCAAGACGGAGCTGTGAGCCCCTGGTCCTGGAGGTACAAACGTGAACCTGAAAACAAACAAACAAACAAAAACACGTCTGTCGTTTGTGCTGCAGAAAGTTTAGTTTGTGCTGTTTTAGTTTTGGAGATATTAACGATTCTTTTAAAGGTCAGACTGGGGTCAGCGGCTCCAGACTCAGACTCAAAATGTTCTAAAAACGACTCAAAATGGAGTCAGTCCAAAAGTTTTGTTTGTACGATTCTGGTTCTTAAACCGTTTGAATGAAATTGTCACTTTTTGGACGTAAAATAAATAAACTAGGTACAAACAAGGTCTAAACCAGAGCCAAACTAGGTCCAAACCAGGTCCAAACCAGGTCCAAACCAGGTCCAAACCAGGTCTAAACTAGGTCTAAACTAGGTCTAAACTAGGTCTAAACTAGGTCTAAACCAGGTCTAAACCAGGTCCAAACAAGGTCTAAACCAGGTCTAAACTAGGTCCAGACTAGGTCTAAACTTGGTCTAAGCCTGGTGTAAACCTGGTCTAACCCAGGTCCAGACTTGGTCCAGACTAGGTCCAAACCAGGTCCAAACCAGGTCTAAATTATGTCCAAACTCGGTCTAAACCAGAGCCAAACTAGGTCCAAACCAGGTCCAAACCAGGTCCAAACCAGGTCTAAACCAGGTCCAAACCAAACCAGATCAACTAGGTCCAATCCAGGTCCAAACCAGGATTAAACAAGTTCAAAACAAGTCCTAAACAAGGCCTAAATAAAGTCCAAACCAGGTCCAAACCAGGTCCAAACCAGGTCCAAACCAGGTCCAAACCAGGATTAAAAAAGTCCTAAACAAGTCCTTAAACTAAAGTAGAAACGATGTAGTCCACTTTTAGACCTGGTTTAGACCTAGTTTAGGACTTGTTTAGGACTTTTTAAATCCCGGTTTAGACCTGGTTTAGGACTTGTTTAGGACTTTTTAAATCCTGGTTTAGACCTGGTTTAGGACTTGTCTTAAGAACCGTAAAAGCTCAGAGTTTAACAAGTCCTAAACATTCGCCATTTTCGGCCGATGACGTGCAAAAAATTGGCGAAACTTTCCATAAATTCTTTTGTGCTGTTAATATTTTACTTCTTGCGTTAACATTTTAAAAGTTTTCATTTACGTATTTCGCTGATAAGATCATGTCATTTCCTCCCAGAAACAACGTCATGTAATCAGCAAAATAAGTAAAAAGAGAATCGTTAATATTTCCAAAACTGAAGCAGCACAAACGAAACTTTTTGCGGCACAAACAGTTCCCGTAGTTTTTGTGCAGTTGTGTGTTTTTTTGGGGACCGACTTCACGTTTTCAGGTTTAAAACGTCTTGAGTTCAGAATATTTATTTTGATTTGACGAGTTAAAGAGAAGCTCTAAACCATTATGCAAAATCCACTTTTACCGAGCTTTTCTCTCATGTTTTTGTGGTCGTTGTGGACGCTGATTGTGTTGTGTCGCGCTCTGCAGGGGGAGTGACTTAGCGCGGAGAGCGAGGAGTAAAACACAACATTATAAAACATTTTTAAACATTTTCCAATCAATAAAAAAGTAACACGGTGATCTGATTATGTCACATGTTAGAAAGTTAATACGCCAAAAAAGTTAAACAGCCCATTTTTAAGTTTTATTCCTTAAATAATTTGAAATTTTAAGATATTTTGACAGATTTCGCTTTTGACTTTTATTTATTTGTGTCAAAATTATTTGCTGAAATAAAACAAAACAAGAAGCCGCGATAAAAACGGAATATTTTCAGACATATTTGTTTACGTTTTTTTCAGAAATGTTAAAAAATTAAAATATGAACTTTGCAGATGTGAAAGTTTTGGGGATTTGGACGAACGTAACGACTGAAAACGGCTCAAATCAGGGTAAATATTTTAAATTCAAGACATTTGAAGCGACGTAGTTTCATTTTGCTGTAACACGAGCGACATGAGAGCGATTACATTTGGATTTTAAAGAAGTTTTATCAGTAATTCAGATGGATTTGAGATAATTTTCGCTCAAAATTTGACTATCGTTGGTTCACAAATGAAAGTTTTGTGATTTTAAGATTAATTTATACTTAAAAAAGGGATTAAAAAGACTCTAAATATACATTCTTTATTTGATATCAAACTTTTGGACCAATACGACAGACAGATTATTTTAGTTTTTCACGTTTGTTGCATCAAATTGTGAAAGTGATTTTAAATGAAAATTGCAAAAGGAGCTGTTTTTAATTTTTTGTGATGATTATGATGCAAAAATTTCACATTTCACAACACGGCTGCCACTGTTTTCTTTCACTTTTCGTGCATCTCGATAAAAGTTCTGCTGTTTGTTTTTCGTATTGTTCAAGGAGCCGAGTGACTTTACGGTTTGATTTGTTCGGTGATTTAAAAATGCCTCTTTACTGCAAATATTCTGCACATGTCGGAAACTTTACACATTTCATTTTCTCATCACTTTTAAAGCTCCGATAATCTGACACATATTTTAAATTAATTTTTTTTGTTTTTGCTCAGTGTTTTGGTTGAAGTGTTTTAAAAAGACCGTGTGTGTGGTTCTTCTGTTTCTGCCGTTTTGTGTGTTTTGTTTGTGTGTTTTGTTTGTGTGATCCTGTGTGCAACTGCAACTGCGTTTGTACGTTTTTTAAATAAAGTTATTGTTGAACTGAACGTCTCAGTCCCTCAATGAAAAGGTCCAAACCAGGACTAAACTCGGTCTAAACCAGGACTAAATCAGGTCTAAATTAGGTCAAAACTAGGACTAAACCAGGTCTAAACCAGGTCTAAACACTAGGTCTAAACTAAACTAAACCAGGTCTAAACTAGGTCTAAACCAGGACTAAATCAGGTCTAAATTAGGTCAAAACTAGGACTAAACCAGGTCTAAACCAGGTCTAAAGCAAGTCCAAACTAGGTCTAAACTAGGACTAGACCAGGTCTAAACCAGATCTAATCTAGGACTAGACGAGGTCTAAACCAGGACTAAACCAGGTCTAAACTAGGTCTAAATTAGGTCTAAACCAGGTCTAAACTAGGTCTAAATTAGGTCAAAACTAGGTCTAAACCAGGTCTAAACTAGGACTAAACCAGGTCTAAACCAGGTCTAAACCAGGACTACACCAGGTCTAAACCAGGACTGAACCAGGACTAAACCAGGTCTAAACCAGGACTAAACCAGGTCTAAACTAAACCAGGTCTAAACCAGGACTAAACCAGGTCTAAAACTAGGTCAGGAACCAGGGTCTAAACCAGGACTAAACCAGGTCTAAACCTAAACAGGTCTAAACTAAACCAGGACTAAACCAGGTAAACCAGGTCCAAACTAGGACTAAACCAGGTCTAAACAAGGTCCAAACTGGGTCCAGGTCTAACTAGGTCTAAAACTTAAACAAGTGTAAACCAGAACTAAATCAGGTAAATTAGGTCAAATCAGGTCCAAACCAGGTCTAAACCGGGTCTGAACTAGACTTAAATCAGGTCTAAAAATTAGGTCCAAACCAGAACTAAACTTGGACTAAACCAAGTGAACTGGAGCTAAACAGAGTTGATGGAGCCTGAAGCGCGTCCGTGGCTGCGTGTATAAACTTTATAGAAATGAAAACTTGAAAGTGGTAAAGTGAGTCCGGGTGCAGTTCCAGTTGTGTCCAGCAGAGGGAGTCACACACCTTCATTTACTCTGAGCGTCCGGACTCGAAAACACCAAACGAAACTCTGCTCATGAAGAAGAAACACTGACAATACAAACTCGATATCGATACTGAGGAACAGACTCGATATCGATACTGATTCTGATTCCACAACGAAAAAAAAAACAACACATTTTCAACATTTAATGGTAGAACTAAACCAGGACTAAACTCTAAACCAGGAACTAAACCAGGTCTAAACCAGGACTAAACCAGGTCTAAACTAAACCAGGTCTAAACCAGGACTCTACTAAACCAGGTCTCTAAACCAAACCAGGACTAACCAGGTTAAACCAGGACTAAACCAGGTCTAAACCAGGTAAACTAAACAGGACTAAACCAGGACTAAACCAGGTCTAAACCAGGTCTAAACCAGGTCTAAACAGGTCAGGTCTAAAACTAAAACCAGGTCTAAACCAGGACTTAACCAGGACTAAAGGACAGGTCTACAGGACTAAACCAGGACTAAACCAGGACTAAACCAGGTCTAAACCAGGACTAAACCAGGGACTGAACCAGGACTAAATCTAAAACCAGGACTAAACCAGGACTGAACCAGGACTAAACAGGAACCTAGGACTAAACTAAACCAGGACTAAACCAGGACTAAACCAGGTCTAAACCAGGTTAACTGTTAACCCAGGTCTAGGACTGTTTAGTCCTGTTCAGTCCTGGTTTAGACCTGGTTTAGTCCTGGTTTAGACCTGTTTAGTCCTAGACCTGGTTAAGTCCTGGTTTAGTAGTCCTGGTTTAGTCCTGGTTTAGACCTGGTTTAGACCTGGTTTAGACCTGGTTTAGACCTGGTTTAGACCTGGTTTAAGACCTGGTTTAGTCCTGGTTTAGTCCTGGTTTAGACCTGGTTTAGTCCTGGTTTAGACCTGGTTTAGACCTGGTTTAGTTCTACCATTAAATGTTTTGAAAATGTGTTGTTTTTTTTTCGTTGTGGAATCAGAATCAGTATCGATATCGAGTCTGTTCCTCAGTATCGATATCGAGTCTGTTCCTCAGTATCGATATCGAGTTTGTATTGTCAGTGTTTCTTCTTCATGAGCAGAGTTTCGTTTGGTGTTTTCGAGTCCGGACGCTCAGAGTAAATGAAGGTGTGTGACTCCCTCTGCTGGACACAACTGGAACTGCACCCGGACTCACTTTACCACTTTCAAGTTTCATTTCTATAAAGTTTATACACGAGCACGGACGCGCTTCAGGCTCCATCAACTCTGGCTCCAGTTCACTTGGTTTAGTCCAAGTTTAGTTCTGGTTTGGACCTAATTTCTACCTGATTTAAGTCTAGTTTAGACCCGGTTTAGACCTGGTTTGGACCTGATTGAGTCCTGGTTTACACTTGTTTAAGTCCTAGTTTGGACCCAGTTTGGACTTGCTTTAGACTTGGTTTAGTCCTAGTTTAGACCTGGTTTAGTCCTGGTTTAGACCTGGTTTAGTCCTGGTTAAGTCCTGGTTTAGACCTGGTTTAGTCCTTGGTTTAGACCTGGTTTAGACCTGGTTTAGTCCTGGTTTTAGACCTGGTTTAGTCCTGGTTCAGTCCTGGTTTAGACCTGGTTAGTCCTTTAGACCTGGTTTAGACCTGGTTTTAGTCCTAGTTTAGACCTGGTTAGACCTGTTTTTGACCTTTTAGACCTTTTTAGACCTGGTTTAGACCTGTTTAGTCCTGGTTTAGACCTAGTTTAGACCTGGTTTTAGTCCTGGTTTAGACCTAGTCCTGAGTTTAGACCTGGTTTAGACCTGGTTTAGTCCTAGTTTTAGACCTAGTTTTTTTAGACCTGGTTTAGACTGGTTTAGTCTGTTTTGACCTTTTTAGACCTGATTTAGTCCTGGTTTAGACCTAGTTTAGACCTGGTTTCCTAGTTTAGACCTATTTTAGTCCTTTTACCTGGTTAGACCTGATTTAGTCCTGGTTTAGACCGAGTTTAGTCTTGGTTTGGACCTTTTCATTGAGGGACTGAGACGTTCAGTTCAACAATAACTTTATTTAAAAAACGTACAAACGCAGTTGCAGTTGCACACAGGATCACACAAACAAAACACACAAACAAAACGCACAAAACGGCAGAAACAGAAGAACCACACACACGGTCTTTTTAAAACACTTCAACCAAAACACTGAGCAAAAACAAAAAAAATTAATTTAAAATATGTGTCAGATTATCGGAGCTTTAAAAGTGATGAGAAAATGAAATGTGTAAAGTTCCGACATGTGCAGAATATTTGCAGTAAAGAGGCATTTTTAAATCACCGAACAAATCAAACCGTAAAGTCACTCGGCTCCTTGAACAATACGAAAAACAAACAGCAGAACTTTTATCGAGATGCACGAAAAGTGAAAGAAAACAGTGGCAGCCGTGTTGTGAAATGTGAAATTTTTGCATCATAATCATCACAAAAAATTAAAAACAGCTCCTTTTGCAATTTTCATTTAAAATCACTTTCACAATTTGATGCAACAAACGTGAAAAACTAAATAATCTGTCTGTCGTATTGGTCCAAAAGTTTGATATCAAATAAAGAATGTATATTTAGAGTCTTTTTAATCCCTTTTTTAAGTATAAATTAATCTTAAAATCACAAAACTTTCATTTGTAAACCAACGATAGTCAAATTTTGAGCGAAAATGATCTCAAATCCATCTGAATTACTGATAAAACTTCTTTAAAATCCAAACGTAATCGCTCTCATGTCGCTCGTGTTACAGCAAAATGAAACTACGTCGCTTCAAATGTCTTGAATTTAAAATATTTACCCTGATTTGAGCCGTTTTCAGTCGTTACGTTCGTCCAAATCCCAAAAACTTTCACATCTGCAAAGTTTATATTTTAATTTTTGAACATTTCTGAAAAAACGTAAACAAATATGTCTGAAAATATTCCGTTTTATCGCGGCTTCTTGTTTTGTTTTTGTTTTATTTCAGCAAATAATTTTGACACAAATAAATAAAAGTCAAAAGCGAAATCTGTCAAAATATCTTAAAATTTCAAATTATTTAAGGAATAAAACTTAAAAATGGGCTGTTTAACTTTTTTGGCGTATTAACTTCTAACATGTGACATAATCAGATCACCGTGTTACTTTTTATTGTTTGGAAAATGTTTAAAAATGTTTTATAATGTTATGTTTTACTCCTCGCTCTCCGCGCTAAGTCACTCCCCCTGCAGAGCGCGACACAACACAATCAGCGTCCACAACGACCACAAAAACATGAGAGAAAAGCTCGGTAAAAGTGGATTTTGCATAATGGTTTAGAGCTTCTCTTTAACTCGTCAAATCAAAATAAATATTCTGAACTCAAGACGTTTTAAACCTGAAAACGTGAAGTCGGTCCCCAAAAAAAACGCACGACTGCACAAAAACTACGGGAACTGTTTGTGCCGCAAAAAGTTTCGTTTGTGCTGCTTCAGTTTTGGAAATATTAACGATTCTGTATTTACTTATTTTGCTGATTACATGACGTTGTTTCTGGGAGGAAATGACATAATCTTATCAGCGAAATACGTAAATGAAAACTTTTAAAATGTTAACGCAAGAAGTAAAATATTAACAAATATTAACAAATATTAACAAATATTAACAGCACAAAAGAATTTATGGAAAGTTTCGCCAATTTTTTGCACGTCATCGGCTGAAAATGGCGAATGTTTAGGACTTGTTAAACTCTGAGCTTTTACGGTTCTTAAGACAAGTCCTAAACCAGGTCTAAACCAGGATTTAAAAAGTCCTAAACAAGTCCTAAACCAGGTCTAAACCAGGATTTAAAAAGTCCTAAACAAGTCCTAAACCAGGTCTAAACCAGGATTTAAAAAGTCCTAAACAAGTCCTAAACCAGGTCTAAACCAGGATTTAAAAAGTCCTAAACAAGTCCTAAACCAGGTCTAAACCAGGATTTAAAAAGTCCTAAACAAGTCCTAAACCAGGTCTAAACCAGGATTTAAAAAGTCCTAAACAAGTCCTAAACCAGGTCTAAACCAGGGATTTAAAAAGTCCTAAACAAGTCCTAAATAAGGTCTAAATCAGGTCTAAACTAGGTCTAAACCAGGTCTAAAAGTGGACTACGTCGTTTCTACTTTAGTTTAAGGACTTGTTTAGGACTTTTTTAATCCTGGTTTGGACCTGGATTGGACCTAGTTGATCTGGTTTGGTTTAGACCTGGTTTAGACCCTGGTTTGGACCTAGTTTATGGACCTAGTTTAGGACCTTTAGTTTGGACCTAGTTTAGACCTAGTTTGGACCTAGTTTAGACCTAGTTTGAACCTTTAGTTTGGACCTAGTTTAGCCTAGGTTTAGACCTAGTTTAGACCTAGTTGGACCTAGTTTGGACCTAGTTTAGACCTGAGTTTTGGACATAATTTAGACCTAGTTTGGACCTAGTTTGGACCTAGTCTGGACCAAGTCTGGACCTGGGTTAGACCAGGTTTACACCAGGCTTAGACCAAGTTTAGACCTAGTCTGGACCTAGTTTAGACCTGGTTTAGACCTGGTTTAGACCTGGTTTAGACCTAGTTTAGACCTAGTTTAGACCTAGTTTAGACCTAGTTTAGACCTAGTTTAGACCTGGTTTAGACCTGGTTTAGACCTGGTTTAGACCTGGTTTATTTATTTTACGTCCAAAAAGTGACAATTTCATTCAAACGGTTTAAGAACCAGAATCGTACAAACAAAACTTTTGGACTGACTCCATTTTGAGTCGTTTTTAGAACATTTTGAGTCTGAGTCTGGAGCCGCTGACCCCAGTCTGACCTTTAAAAGAATCGTTAATATCTCCAAAACTAAAACAGCACAAACTAAACTTTCTGCAGCACAAACGACAGACGTGTTTTTGTGTTTTTGTTTGTTTGTTTGTTTTCAGGTTCACGTTTGTACCTCCAGGACCAGGGGCTCACAGCTCCGTCTTGGCCCCGCCCAGAGGCACCTGGGGCTGGATCTCCTCGTCCGTCGTGGCCCCTGGATCCTGACTCTCCACCGGCGCTTTGGACTTCTTCTTCTTCTTCACCTTCTTGTCCTTTTTCTTCTTGTTCTCGGCGTCCGGAGCGTCGGCGTCTTTCTTCCCCTTCTTCTTCTTCTTCTTCTTCTTCTTGTCGTCGTTTTTGCTCTTCTTGTTTTTCTTGTCCTCGGCGATGGCGGCGCGGTCTCCTTTTCTCTTCGACCACTCCTCGTTCAAACACTCTGATGAAAACACAAGAACAGAAACAAAAGGGAGAGGTCACGCTGGGGGGGTTCTACATGTGGATCTATGGTGGAATGTTCAGCAGGATCCACCGCAACGCACACGTAAACAAACACGGACAAAAAACGGTTAAAGGTTGTATAGAGGATTTTTTGAAGGGAAGAGAAATACAGCGACAGTCCTTGTGCGCGTTCAGAATCACTGTTGAAGTTTCCTGTCTAGAAGTAATTCAGCGACCGACGCGTCAGTTTTTAGACCCTTCGTCTGCTTCGGTCGCGCCATCGCTGGACGAGATCTCCAAGAATCACCTCAGTTTGTCTTCGCTCCTTTTCCTCCTTCTCTTCTTCTTTCGGCGACCTCAAAAACGGACTTTCTTTCGCGGCGAACCGGTCGTGGATTCTCGTCCGCCGTCGCGACAAACTTTGCGCGAAATGCGAGGAAGCGACAGTTCGAAAAAGCCTCTAAGAACCGCTGCGTAAACCACGTAATCCCCGCGCTCCGACGAGTCAGTTACACTAGGGAGTTTGATTGACAACCCAACAGCCAATAGAAAATGAGGGAGCCTCGTTTTCTATTGGCTGATGTTTATCTGGCCTCAACACGTCCACAGTTGATAGATTTTCGTTCTTTTTTTTTTTGGTCATCATAATTACAAAGCTGCTGCGTC